ATCAAGAAGCTGCCCCCACAGACTTGGCCACAGGCCAGTCCAATGGAGGCAATCCCCAGTTGAGCCTCCCTCAACCCAGGTGTGTGAAGCTGACACTAAAGCTATCCAGCACAACTGACCCCTTGTCAACTTGAGACACAAACACATCACTATTAAACCATAACCTTTCCATTTCTTGTCCCCAAGACACGATGTTAACATTAATATCACAACATAAGACAGTACAACCTTAAAAGCCTCAAAGTCCTTAAAAAAAATCCAAACACTTAAAAGTTCACAGTCTCTTTTAAAAGTCTCTTAACTGGGCTCCTGTAAGATCCAAAACAAGTACTGTCTTATTTCAAAGGGAAGAATCCGGCACACCTAAGCAAAACCTAAGTCCATCAAAATAGTTCAAGACTGGACAATCTGGGATTCACTCATGATTTTCTGGGCTCCAAAGGGTTTTAGCAGCTCCACTTCCACAGCACACAGCTCATCTTGCAGACCCAGGCTGCCTCCATTCTATACCTGCTTCTGCCCTTGGTAGTCATCCTAAGTCCTGACATTTCCAAAAAGATGGGGTCTCCACTGAAACTGAGGCTGCACTCTCACCAGTGGCCTCTTCTGACCTCTCAGGGTGCAATGCCTCAGATTCTCTCCATGACCCTTCAATCTTGGGGTCTTCACTGCAATTGAGGCTGCACTTTCACTGATGGCTTTTCCTGGCCTCTCAGGGTACCAAGCCTCAGTTGCTGTCTGTGAGCCCTTCATGTTTTCAATACCAGAACCATGCAGGAGACTCTTACAGATCACCAAATCCTGCTTCCTGTTTGAGGTGGAGCCTCTGGCCCCCTCTTGACCACAACTTCCGTGTACTGACCCTGAGGAAATACTTTCTGGAAGATTTCCTAATAAAGCAAAGGTTTTACTTCAGGTTCTGGTCTCTTAAGCACAGCTGATTCTTCAGCCCCAGCTGACCAGAACCCACAGATTCTCAATTCAAAATACCACACAAATGGCTTCATAAGCCAGGCCTCCATTGTCCACAACTCTTTCAGCATCACTGTTCCAAGCTCCACAGCAACAAACTGAACACTCAATGGCTTTTCCAGCTCAAAATTCCACTCGCTTCCACAATCCTCCAAAGTCAGATTTGTCACAGCAGTGCCCTACTCTCTGGTACCAATTTCTAACCTAGTTTCTCTGTTGCTGTGACAAAACACTCTGACCAATATCAACTTGAGGAGGAAAGAGTTTTTTTGGCTTACATCTCCTGGGTCACAGTTCATCTGGGAGCAGGAACCTACAGGCAGGAGCTAGAGCACAGGCCATGGAGGAATGCTGCTTACTGGTTTGCTTCCCGATCCCTACTCAGCCTGCTTTCTTATACAGCATAGGTCCACCTGCCCAGGGGTGGCACCACCCACAGTGGGCTGGGCCCTCCCATATCACTCAACAATCAAGAAGATGCTCCACAGACATGGCCACAGGCCAGTCCAATGGAGATAATTCTCCAATTGAGGCTCCTTCTATCCAGGTGTATCAAGTTGACACTAACGCTATCCAGCACATGGACATCATAAGGAAGTGGGAAGTGAGGAGGCTGCTCAGAGGGAGTGAGAGTTAGGCTGAACTCTTAAAGTATGAATGCAAGTTAATCAGAGAAAAAGGACTCATTTTCCATATGGAGGGAAGATCATAATAACTTAAGTTTCTATGAGACAAGCAACATTTACGTTTGCTTTCCGACTGCACAGTGCTCAGCTTTCTCATGCTGCCGTGCCTTCCTGCTATGATGGTTTGTACCCAACAAACCACTTGGTACTTCTAACATACCCCTTGTTTATCAGATCTGTGTTAGTGATGGAGGCCTGGACCTGGAGATCCTTAAACATCATGAAGTTATCCACTGCCTCCCAAAAGGTTCCATTCAGGTGGTCTGTTCAGGTCATCTCCTACCCATGTGCTGGGAGCCAACCACTCGCCTCATCATTTCCAGATGGCATCTAGATGCCAGGCTGCCTGATGCAAGCTCCTGGGAAATACTGACTTCTACATGTAGCCCTAAACATGATCTTCAACCATTATCCTCCACTTCCCCCAGAGACAGTAAAACTGTCAGCTTCCTTCCACTTTCTCCCTTATAAACAACTGAGTGTGGTGGTATGTGCCAGTAATATCAGAGCCTGAGACATGAGGATTGTCGCATATGAGGCTAGCCTGGGCTACAGGAAGACACTCTTAGAAAAATGGAGAGAGGAAAGTGAATTGGGCTGAAAAGGAGACATTTCCGTAAAGGACCCGAGTGCTGTCCCAGCACGACCAAACTGTACCGAGCTTCTCAGTGAAACAGGTCTTAAGTGACCCACCCTTACAGAAAAATTATCAAGAAATTAACCGAAAAGGCAAAAACTGAAACCATTTTTGGTTTGGAGTGTTGCTCTACAGGGTTTGTGACTATCCAACCCTCTTGCCTCCTCAGTGCTGGGATTATAGTGTGCACAACCACACTTGTAACAAAAAGCATGAAACTTGATAGCTCCTATGAATGTTAAGAACACCAATTTCAAAATGTGAGAATGCTGCTGGGTTTGGTGGCTCATGCCTTTAATCCCAGCACTGAGGAGGTAGAGGCAGGTAGATCTTGATGAGACTGAGGCCAGTTGGATCCACATAGCAAGTTCCAGGCCAGCTCAGGCTACAGGAAGACCCTGTTTTAAAAAGACACCCCCGCCCCACCCCGCTGCCAATAAACCAAACCAAAAAAACCGTGAGAATGCCTTATGTATTTTAGTATCTAAATCATAAAACTTATGGAAAGTGTCCCATGAAGCTAAATAAAACAAATGCAGTACTGTAAAATTCTTAAATTGATCCCTATAAATCCACTAGTCAGCATCCCTGGAGTATTTTTATGGAGCACGACAAGTAAAGAGATTAGAACTGGTTTTTTTTTTTGAATGATGAAGTAACTATGGGGAAACATGTCCATTCTGGAACCAGAAACTTGGTCTTGCGCATGCTGTCAACATTCCTGTGAGTTCCTACGAGCAAGCTCCTGGGAAGACTGTTTGTCATCATTCACCACTCTGAATTCAGTCTTTCAGTCCTTTTCTTTCACAATGGCCCGAGCTCTGGGTGGTGGAAATTTAATATAGGAGTCCTAACCAGAGACACACTCTGCAGTCTCTTATTGTCTACACTTTGGCCAGTTGTGGCCATCTGTGTTAACCATCCTTTGTTGCATCACACAAAAAACAAAAAACAAAAACAACTTACTGGCTGCATTAGTTACTTTTCTGTTGCTGTGATAGAAACACCATGAGGAAGGGAACTTATAAAAGGAAGAGTTTATTTAGCTTACAGTTCCAAGAGGACAAGAGTCCATCATGGCAGGGAGGTGGCTGGAGTAGGATCAGAAACTAAGTGGCAGGCACAGGAAGCAGAGTGCAACTGGAGATCAGAACTCTTGTAAGCCCACCCCCAGTGACGTGCTTCCTCCAGCACGGCCACACCTTCTCAGACCTCCCAAAACACCGCCACCATCTGGGGACAAAATGCCCACATATGTGGGGGACACTCCTGTTCAAACCAGCACACTGACATAGGAGACAAAGAACCAAATGGTACAAACTAGAAATTCCGGAATAATAGGACAGATGTCCTATCAAGTAAAGCTGGCATTTCAACCACTGAAGAATGGACTATTCAGTTCATATTATTAGGGACACTTTGCTATCCATTCAGTAAAAATTTTGATCTCAGGAGGCTGGAGAGATGGCTCAGTGGTTAACACTGGCTGTTCTTGTAGAGGACCCAGAGTTCAATTCCCAGCACCCACATGGTGGCTAACAACCCTCCACAACTCCAGTTCCTGGGGATCAAACACTCTCTTCTGGCCTCTGCAGGTTTATATGCACATGATACACTTACATACATGCAGACAAAACACTTGTATGCAAAATTAAAAAAAACATTATTTGAATCTCAGACTATACACAGAAATTCCATACGAATTAAAGAGCCAAACATAAATTCAGTAGGTCTATATTTTAAATATTGGGGTGAGGAAAACAGTCCCCAAAACACATAAGTTCATAAATAAAAGAGATGAGTGATACTGGTGAAAACCATGATTAGCAGGCAAAGGATAAAAAGGCAATTACAGTGTGCCAAAATGGACAGGGAATTTCACAAGGTCCCACCTCTAGATGAAGATCCATGGGCAATCAATTACTGCTGAGAGGGAGAATCAGCTTCTCCAGGGTGAGCTGTCTGAGAGGCTATCCAGTCCCAAGTGGTCAGCCCCAAACACTGGTCCATACAAGCAACACTAAATGGACTCAGTAGGGGTGTGCATATACACACATATGTATATACATAACAATAACAAAGAGGTCATGAAATTGAGAGGGGGATGTGGAGGGGATAAGAGTTCAAGGGGAGAAAGGGAGGGTTGGAAATATTGTAAATACAATACTCATATGACATTCTCAAATAAAAAATTTGAGAAAAAGTATGGTGATGATATTGGCAATGCCAGCACTGGGAAGGTGGAGACAGGTGGGTCCCTGAGTAGGCTAGGCTACGGTTCTACCTTGCCTTCCCTCCCCAGTGCTGGGTTACAAGTAGGCACCACACCAGCCTGGGTAACACAGCAAACCCTGTCTCACAAACACTTTTTTGTCAAAGTTACTACTACATACTTTATAAACCTACAGTTTCCATGACATGGCATATTAAAGGAATCTTTTATTTATTTTTTATTTATTTTTTGGTCTTTTTGAGAACAGGGTCCCCTTGTAGCCCCAGCTGGCCTGGAACTATGTTGACCAGGCTGGGCTCAAACTCACAGAGATCCGCCTGCCTCTGTCTCCTGAGTGCTGGGATTAAAGGCGTGCGCCACCACGCCCGGCTTAAAGGAATCTTTAAAAAAAACTTAACTATATAGCCAGGTGTGGTGGTGCATGCCTGTAGTCCCAGCACTCGGGAGGCAGAGGCAGGTGGATCGCTGTGAATTCAAGGCCAGCCTGGTCTACATAGTGAATTCTAGGCCAGATAGGGCTGTAGGGAGACCTTGTCTCAAAAAGACCAAAAAAAAAAAACAACCCAAAAAACCTTTTTACTATCATTTTGAAGAAATGCAACAACTCTCTATAGCACCCAACACGGGGCTCTGGCCTGCCACCAAAAGCTGCAGAGGGGAATGTCAGGCAGCAGAAGATGAGTTTTGTTTCCATCACTGGCTATGGGTACACATAGAACATTTTTAGCCAGCCTTCTGAAATGGTTACAGTGAGCTCGCCAGGACATCACAACCTCCATCAGGACTCCATTGGTGTCTGTGGACTCCCATAAGGGCCGCTAACAGATGAGCTTCTTGTGCTGCCAAGAACGAGCCTCTCGCGTCTTCCAAATGCTTCATTTACTGAAACACAAGCAGAACCCCATGATCAGGGAATCCAGATGTTAAAAACAGATGTTAAACAATAAGGTTCTCCATTCTGGAGCGAAAACTTTGTTATGAAAGTATATTTAAGACTAAGTAAGAAAGTAAGCAACCAACTTGGAATCTGTCCACATTAATGTAATGTATGAGTCAACTGGTTTTTAACAGTCCACCTTTTGTACCTTACTTTGGTTTGTCCTGGAGTTCTCTAATCTGCCTGATAACAGATCTCTCATCCCTTGGAACAGTGACTCTGCTCTTCCCTTCCTCTACTTTAGGCTGTTTCTTTATCATGACCACATAGAACTTTCTAGACCCTTCATATATATAAATGCAAATCAGGCAAACGCAGACAAATCTTAGGATCCTTCCTCAGCATGGGAGGGAGGAGGATTCAGATTCAGGAATCATATAGTGGGGCACACCAGTCAACAGTCACTATTCTTTTTTTTAAGAAAAGCAGACTAATATGGTATGCTCCATGAGTCTGCATGTCATGTCGTCCTTGTGCAGTCCATGCTCTTCTCTTCATTTTAGTCTGTGCTGCCAAGCCGAGCAAGGCTGCCACTACTCTGAAGGGGAGGGCTGTGTCTTGTAGAAAGTAGCTGGGAGATGAGTACACACATTCGCACTGGCAGCTAGGAAGGGGAGGGCTCCTGAGACTATGCTCCATTTCCTCCTAGCATTCCCAGCAAACCTTCCAATTTTAAGATATTTAAAAAATAAGCCTGTACTCCAGTGTGAAGACAAATGTACGTGTGAATGCCTCCCTTCCTGATGGAAGAAGAGCACACTGTAGGATACACACTGGGTCTGCTTTGCCAGTACATCACACATTACATTTACACCACCTGGCTAGTTCCTTACAGACCTTTCAGAAAGGGGGAGCTTAAAGATTCTTACCTGAAGCAACAGTGCTTATGTCCCAAACCCGAAGCCCTTCTTTCTGACCTCCAAAGGCATAAATAAAGGGCAAATCAGGACAACAGGAAGAACAGAAGAGAACTCCCTGGGGAGAGAAGAACGGGGAGTCAGTGACTTCTACCCTTCCAGAGTTCTAACCTCTGAGCCCCACCCTATCTCTAAGAACTCAGGTTTAATCCGTTTCTTGGCCAAATCATCACGACAGATGACAGTCATGAAGCTGGACAGGCACAGTGCGCGTGTAGGCTCTCACCACACAGGTTTCATCACTATTCAGTCAGGGATTTCCTAATAAATCTCACTTGCTAAGTAGACCTAGAAACCTTAGCTGTCCTTTTAAATGACAGTGATACCAGAGGTCACTAGCAAATTTAAAAAAAAAAAATCTTTTTGCATGGATGGGGATTGGTACTCAGGGGTTTCTAGGCAGGTGTTCTACCACTGGGCTACATCCTATCTTTAGCCCTTAAATCATTAAAAAAAATTTTAAAAACATTTATTTTGCCTACGTGTGCATGCCTGCATGTGTGTTTGGGGGTCAGGAACATGTGCGTGGTCAGAGGACAGCAGGTAGGAGTTGGTTCTCACCTTCCACCACCTGGGTTCAGGGAACTGAGCTCAGGTCATCAGGCTTGACAGCAAGTGCCTTTATCCAGTCAGCCATCTTGTTGGTCTCCCTTTAAATCATTTTTTAAACTTTCCATATTTTCATGTTTACTACTAGATATTATGTATTATTGAAAATATGAACAAGAAGAAATAGAAAATCCTTCAGTGAGATACTATTATTTATGTTTTGGGATATAACCTGCTAGATTTAAGTATTTCTATACCAGGCTGGCTTCAAACTCACAGAGATCTGCCTGCCTCTGCTTCCTGAGTGCTGTGATTAAAGGTCTGTACCACCCACCCAGTCATACATGTGATTTTTAATAGCTGTGATAGTCTACTATGTCATCAATGGTATTTTAAGTAACTCAGTACCTTAGCACTGTGGGTGCTCACTATCTACCAAAGAATCCTTCAGTACTCCTTTTTTCTTATTTTGTTTTGGATTTTTGAGTAGGGTCTTACCATGTAGCCCTGGCTGGCTTGGAACTCACAGAGATGTGTCTGCTTCTGTCTCCCGAGTGCTGGGATTAAAGGCGTATGCCATTATACCCAGTGAAATGTACTTATTTCTAATTTTTTTTTTTGAAACATAGAAACGAAATCAACTTGAGTGTTAATCAGGGCTAGTTATAAAAAGAAATAAAAGGGTCCCCAAATAGCTCTAGTGCTGAACCTTCCAAAGTTTTCTGGGGTATTGCTGAATGATGGATTTAAAAAATGTGGCTAGTTCACTTAAACCCGCCCCTATCTTTCTTTGTCTTCTCAAGCAACTATTAAGCATGTAACCTGGAAAAGAGTTCAGATAGTCACTCAACTTCTTAAAATGGTCCTAAATTGCTGGGCATGGTGGCTCATGCCTTTAAATCCAGCACCTGGAAGGTAGAGGCAGGCGGATCTCTGAGTTCGAAGCCAGCCCGGTCAACATAGTGAGTTCCAGGCCAGCTGGGGCTACAGGCCTGCCTCAAAAAGAAGAAAAAACAAAACAAAAAACCTGTCCTAAGTTATAAAACTCCCACCAAACTTGACTAAGCTCAAAATTAATTTCCTCGACACATCTCTATTCTTACAGCAGCGATTCTTAGGAAAAGACAAACAGATCAGAAACACAATAAACAGAAAACCCAGATTTCAGAGGGTTCTCACCATCTTCATGTCTCTCGAATGAATGAGACTCGGCCTGTCTCCTAGGATGTCCCAGATCTTCACATACTTGTCTGCTGATGCAGTCACAAGGCAGCCCTTGATCTGACTGCTCAGCTCAAGACCTGGAAGACACGACTAATTCAGGGACTGTTGCTTTCAAGTAAGATTATTTACTTATAACTTAATGGAAATGAAAGAAGTATCATTCCTGCTCACCAGAAATTTCATCATTGTGTGCATTAAGTGTAAAAATTGGCTTATCTGAACGTGCATCCAGATTATATACAAAGCCGTCATCTGTACTGGCCTGCAGAGTAAAAGATAGGCAAGATCATGTTATAAGATAATAAAATTTAGCAATGCAGAAGTATAAATTAGAGTGAAAAATCAGTAAATCTGACTCGTCTGTGGAACCTACTAAAAACAGATACTAGAATTTACTTTTGGAAGAGCTAAGCTGGTTTTCATATGGGCTAATTACTCAGTGGGTATGAAGCTGGGGTAAGCAGGGTTAGAGACGTGGGCATAGAGGTGTTGTCACAACCACAAGGGCAGAGGGGCACACCTGGGAGGGTAACACTGACGAGCAAGGGCTGGCAGCAGAGACTGGGTGAACATGTCTACTGCAGACAGGAGCTGAGCCACAGCAATGAGAGGCAAAGGGAGGAGGGAACATGGAAGGACCTTGGGAGCCAAGAAAGAAACTTATGAGGGATGTTGTGCTTAGTCTGACAGCAGATGAGAGGGGGCTATTCGGCGTTCAAGAAAGGGGAACAAAATGGAATTAAGAGACAGAGTCAAGGGTGGGGAAAAGCTCTATATAAGGAAAGGGCAACAGCCACTAGGAAAAAAAGAAAAATAATTGAGGCAGTGTTGAAGGATGGGGCCCTCCTGTGAGACTGGAGACCAGGAAGTGAGCGTTCATCTTATCACCCCCAACTTCCCCACTGTTTCTGACTCTAGTATCTAAGACCATTCATCAGTTAACCACCTCAGAAGTATGCATACAACATCAACAACTTCAACGCCATTCATGGTAACTGCCTGAGCTAAGGGTGCAGAGCTGCAGCTGAATCTTCTCAATCACCACCTTCAGGAACCTTAGTAATGCTATTCACAGCCTTCAAAAAGCCGTCTGTAAAAAACTCCTCTTTTTTTTATTGTAAGAATATTAGTAAGAGCAAATTCCTGTCCAATTTCACCTATAGATATAGCTCTGGGGTAGTTTTATGCACTCTAGTTGACTGTTCTCCTGAAAGACAAGGGATCAAAAATCTTATAAAGTTTATTTGAAGAGTGATTTTCATGATGTAACTGGGAATGTTGGGGAAAGTCAGCCAGAAGCAAGTAATAACTCATTGTGAAAACCAACCGAATAGTCCTAATGTCATTAATTTCTATGCTGTGTGAATTTTAGTAGTTTGTTACTTGACAACATGGGGATCTTCAGACCAGAATTCATTACTGAAATTCCAGTAGCTCTATCTTGAATACCTGTCTACTTAGTTTTTCCTTGTCAATTTTCAGTAAACAGTTGACTATTACGTGAAATTTAACATTTCAAAGAAAATTAAAGCAGAGGAAAACTGCTGAAGTCCTCTACATTGTACTTTCCCTCTATTTCTTTTTGGAAAAGGAGCTGTGTAGCTTTAGCGCCTGCATGAAGCTGAATTCAAGGGAGAATGTAAGATAACTGTGTCCTCTCACGTGTCCTAGGTAAAATGAGCATCTCTACTGAAAGACCTGACTTCAATTTTTGTACACACTGTGGTGGTGATCCTCGCTCCCATTCCTAAAGTAGAGTTTTCACAGCAGGAACAGACACTGATACATTCTGTTCTGAATAGTCTCCTATCTGGTTATATGCTAGGAGGCCTTGTACAGTACTGTCCCCTGGAGCCACTGTGTGGGGTAGTCCATCCTGCTACTGCTGAAGTCCTCCTTCCTTGAGGAAAAACTACTCAAATGTTTAGAGTTCATAAAATGATCTCAAGTTAAAAAACAAATGACTTTCTCATAAACGCTATTTAAGAGCTTATGTTTCTCTTCTTGCTCAATTCTCTAAATTAGCTGGGACTTTGCAATTTGTATATAAAGATCTGGGTGGTACATGCCTGTAATCTCAGCACTCAGAAGGCTGAGGTAGGCTGATCATGGGTTTGAGCTCAGTGTGGCACACACAGAGGGACTGTCTCTGGGGAAGGAAGAAAAAGAAGGTAAAACATAGTAGGTAATGGCAATCCTATTTACTGACCAACTTCTTCAGTTTTTTTTACTAAGATGCTGTGAGAATAACTTTTCAGGGAATGCCTCCCATCTTGCCTAACCTTGTAACCAAAGTTAATCTTATGTTTGGAGATCATCTGTCTTCCTGTGTAATCAGCTTATTTAAATTTAACTAGCCTGCAGAAAATCAATGTAAACAATCTTACTAGGCCTTGGGCTCCTCTTGTAATGAACCTTTATGAGCTAAGCTAAACACAGAGTTTTAATCTTAAACTCTCTGCTCTCTATTTCTTCCTCATGACCCTTCCTTGCCCCTGGTCCAGAATTATGTGTGTGTGTGTGTGTGTGTGTGTGTGTAAATACTGCTGAAAGCAGCAACCTTGGAAGCACCTTGAAAGCAATGGGTTACCCACAGTATATGTTGTACACAACATGTGGGCTTAGGGTAATAACATGTTTGTACTTTATATGCTGCTCTGGGTCAGTGGGGGTCAGAAAAGTCAATTTTTTTCCCCCATAAGACAAAGTTCCTCATTCCTTTCCCATACCATGTTTGAGTTTGCTATTCAATAAAAGATAAGATGCCCTTTGTTTAAGGGACTGTTCAGAGAGCTCAGAAATGAACAGTTCTAAGAACAGATATGCTCACTCTTGGTTAAATGACTCCAGGAGTTAGATTTTTTCTGTTCAGTCATTGCTGCATTCTGACATTTGCCACAGGTTAGTTATAGATTAGGAAATATTGTTGAGTCATACACACAAAGAAGTCTCTACTTAAAAGCACTTAGGTACCAATTAAAATTTTTATTTTTTTCCATAAGCACTATGATTATCAACTCCTATTGTCTGAATATACTATGAGGTAGAGCTTGCTAATAATACAAAGAAAATGCATAGAGGCTGTATTTTCTCAGAAGCACGGACATTTGCAACCACTGCTTTCAGAGACATTACTGTGACTTCTGCTTTCCAATGCTTTCATGAAGACCATGTTATACCAGAGGCTTGATTATCAAAGTGAGAGCCAATTTTAACTGCATGTATGTACCAGACTTGTGAATGAGCCACACCACACACATACATACAAACTATGAGTAAGTTTAAAAACTAAAAACAAATAAACATCTTCCTGAAGAGGCTTTAAGAGAAGGGTGGGAAGACAACAGAAAATATGAGATATTAAAAAGGGGAAACACTGGGGTAAAAGGGTACAGCAGGGAAGGGGATGGAGATCAACCAAAATGAAGCATGTGTGAAATGCCACAAGGAAGCCTGATGCTTGGCAGCCAATTAAAACAAACAACTCTCTTTAGTTAAGCTTTCTGTATAATGCTAGTGGAATCTTTGGACATTATTCACCCCAGGGATAGTAAGGGTATTTACAGAAACTCTTTACTTTCTTCCTATTGGAGAGACAGTGCTATTAATCAATACACTGGCAATTCCCATCTCTTGAGTTCCATTTACATGTGAAGACTGAGGACTTAAGTAAGAATATCTTTTTGGATTGACTTAACCATTTAAAAACACTGAAAATAGAGACAGCAGGATTACAGTTTGAGGTCAGCCTGGGCTATACAGTGAGGCCTTATCTCAAAAACCCCAAATAATACATGATGATGATTAATATTTTTAAAAATACTATATATAAAATGGCTCAAAAACATAAAACTAAAATGTAGCATACTCTAGAATGGATGACACTTAACAAAGTCATTCATAAGTCTGCTAATTTTTTTGTGGACAAAAACAAAGCCATTCTCTTGTTAAGAAAAATAGGTTTTTACTTTTTCAACTGTAAGACCCAAATCTTCACACCATCTCTCTATAATGGAATTAGAGAAAATAAGGTTTTGTTTTTTTTTTTTTGTCTTTTTTGAGACAGGGTCTCCTTGTAGCCCCAGCTGTCCTGGAACTCACTACATAGATCAGGCTGGTCTCAAACTCACAAAGATCCACCTGCCTCTGCCTCCCAAGTGCTGGGATTAAAGGCGTGCGCCACCACGCCTGGCCTGAGAAAATAAATTTTTAAAAACCTGAAAAAGCAGAACAAAATGGGATAAGCTTACCAAAAAATGACAAGGTGAAAAGTGGTTCCACGTCACTCTCTCAATCTGCCCACTGAATCGCCACATGCGGTGGTTTTTGTCTGGATTTCGGCAGTCATACAGAGCCACTGACCTAGACACATTGCAGGTCAAGTTAGGATTGGAGACTGAAGTTTATTTCATGAAATGATAACAGAGCAGCACTATGAATTTAAGATTCAGTGATTAATATCTGTTTTAAGGTTCAAAACTTTAAAATTTATTTTAAAAATATTTTACTTTCATTTTTATTCTATGTGTGTGTCTGTGAGAGAATGAGTGAGAGTGTGTGTGTGTGTGTGTATGTGTCTCTGCCCACAGAGGCCAGAATAGGGCACTGTATCCCCTGGAGTTACAGGCAGTTGTTAGCTGCCATGTGGGTGCCAGGACCTGAACTCAGGTCCTCTGCAAGAGCAGCCAATACTCCTACCACTGAGCCATCTCTCTAGCCTGTACACTGTTTAAAGAGTTGACCGTCACTGGTGGATTCTGGTTCTGTCACTTGAAGGCACTGGTGGCTCTAACAGTGGCCTGACCCTTTTTGCAGGTCAAAAACTTGACTTACGGATGAATCGTATTCCCCTCAATCAAGGCCGATTCCTATTTCCCCATCCCAGGCAGATCTCAGAGCCATGTAACTCAGGTTCTAGCTGCTCTCCAGACATGTGACTGTGCTGGGGGAAACCAAGAGATTCACTCTTGTAATTCTGAACGAATCACACCTAAAAAATGAAAACTTAGCACTCTTCAAAAGGACAAGGAGTCAAAACAAAGACTGTGAACTGGCCTCATTCTACTAGCTCTCTTCCCCCTCAGAGCCATTTTGTACAGAGGAGACATGGCTGGGGTCCCTTGGTAGACTGTAGCGGCTCCAACTGCTCACTTCTCCTAAACCCATGCCTTCTATCATGTGATGCAGGAATTCTTCCCATAAAGGCGAAGCAAATTTCCTCCTCCATGTGACATGTTAACAACATACTCCGTTCCAAAAGCCAAAAATGTCGAAAGTATTTGGGAGCTTTTATCTAACCCTTAAAAGATTTTAGGGTTACCTCTTCAGAGGGGGGAATTTTACAGTAGTCAAAAGCCCCATTTAAAAAAGAAGAAGAAAGAGTTTAAAAAAAAAAAAGAAAACAAAAAGAAAGTATATTAGTTCTGGGCCTAGGTCTCCAAAGGTCTTGGTATCTCTGTCTTAGGAGAATCGAGTGTCTCTTAGGCTCAGCCTAACCAAGTCACTGTGAGGAGAGCTGCCTCTGAGCTCAGCCTACACGAACGAAATCTCAAACAGCATAAGAAAGATGTCTAAGTCGCTGAATTTGGAGTGGCTTCTTTCACCACAATAGCTAACTCACACATCTTCAAAAATCCAAGAACGTGCTAGTTTTTTGTGACAGAACCATACTTCCTTTAGAAGTAATGAAGGATCAGAGGTGAAAAATAAGCAGTACTAACAATTTAAACACATCTAGGCATCAGGGACACTTCTATTTTTGGTGGTGTTGCAGATAAAACCTGGCGTCCCGTGCATGCTGGGCAGGTGTCCTTCTACTGAGCCACACCCAGGCCAGTGGTTCTTTTTAAATTAGTTCAAGAGGAAAACAGAACAGCAGTAGTTGAAGTGCTTTCTTACTTATCATATGACCCAGAAATGAGAGTTTGTGCTTCAAATGGATGAAACTGCAGAGTCTGGACCTAAAGGGAGAAAAGATAAATGAAGAGATTTATCTTTACCTGATTTGAGTAACGCCAATACTATGTATTTAGAAAGAATTGGCAATGTTTCTATAAATTCTTCCCTTTGAAATTTAATATTGTGTAAAGAAACCAATGTCTTAAGTACTCAAAAAGGCAAGCCATCCCAAATAAAGGCTGGCACTTCAAGAAATAAGATAGCATATCTCAAACTCTGAAGTGGAGTACTTATGTCCCTCAAATGTTAAAAGATATTCCGAAGGAAGGAGAAGAGTGGAATGGATCTGGGCATAGGCACTCTTTTCTAGCACATCAAAACCCTGAGCAGAGGTCTGTGGTCACATATCTGCTACACTCTTCACTACTGTGACTGATACCCACAGCCTCTGTGAACTTGGTACAGGGCACTAATGTTCCTGATCAGTATTCTTTCCTACATCCAGTTTCACATTTGTGAGATTAGAGTATTAGGTCTATAATACCTGTGAAAGCATTTTGTAAATCACAGAAAGCCATATATAAATGTCCAAGATTATTTTAGTCAGCACCTCCCCAATTCTTTCAAATCCTCTTTATCCACTAAATTAGCATACCTTGTCTGTCTGTATGGCAAGCCGCGCTGCTGATTTCCCCACGGACATGTCCCAAAGGATCACAGTGTTATCGGCTGATGCACTTGCCAGCACATTTCTGAGAAAGGGAAGAAGGAAATTGGTCTTTTTAAAAAAAAAGAGCATTAAATTTAAGGAGTTCATTTACAACAGCAATAAAAAGAGTAGCACACTGTGAACAAGTTTAAAAAGAAGCTAAGACTTACATTTAAAAACTACCAACAATTATCAAAAGAAATGACTGTCAAAGCAGAAAGCCCCCCATGTTCCCACACTGGAAGATAGAAACAGCTCCTACAGACTGAGCTACAACCTGACTGGAGAGTCAACACATTCCACTCCAAAGCTTAGCTAACTGTTCAGTAGAAAGTGGCAAACTGATTCTAAAATTTCTAGGTATGTTCAAGGGACCCATAACTGCCAAAGATCGAAACTGGGAAGCTCACACTTCTTGATTTTGAAACTCACTGAAAAGTACGATACTGTTCTAGTTTGTTTCTCCATTGCTGTGACAAAACACTCTGACCACTACCAACTTGCCTTACATCTCCCAGGTCACAGTTTATCAGGGAGCCCAAGGTAGGAACTCAGGGCAGGAACTTGGAGTCAGGAACTGGAGTACAGGCCATGGGGATCTCTGCTAACTGACTTGCTCCCCTGGCCCCTGCTCAGCCTGCTTTCTTATGCAAAACAGGCCCACCTGCCTCAGGGGTGGCACCTCCCACAGTGGGCTGGATCAAGAAGGTGCCCCAGGGACATGGCCACAGGCCAGTCCAATGAAGGCAATTCCCCAGTTGAGGTGCCCTCAACCCAGGTGTGTCAAATTGACACTAAAGCTATCCAGCACTGATACACTGCTGGTACTATGGACAGATTGACAGATTAAGCTCAGACAGTAAATGCTTGGCAATTTTAATCTTTGTCGAAAGCACCAAGACAATTACATGTTCAAGGATGGGGATGATGATGATGATAACAGTATTTTTGATAAATGATTCAGGGACAATGAATATCCTTGTGAACAAGTCTGACCCTTTTCAGCACATACACATACTTAAAAATGGATCACAGATATATGTGTAGGAGCTAATACTATATAAAATCTCAAAACAATACATACATAAGTATAAATCTTCATGACCTTTGGATAGGCAGTAGTTTCTTAGATGCAACAACACATATAATCAACAAAAACAGACTGGACATCATCAGCATGAAAAATGATTTTACAAGTGAAAAGACAATCCAACCCACAAAATAAAGAAGTATTTTCAAATCCCATTCTGACTAGGCATTATTCATATCTAGAATACATAAGGGACTCCTACCACTCAATTTAAAAAATACACACTTCTTAGCTGGGCGTGGTGGTGCATGCCTTTAATCCCAGCACTCAGGAGGCAGAGGCAGGCAGGTCTCTGTGAGTTCAAGATCAGTCTGGTCTACATAGTTCCAGGACAGCTGGGACTACAGGAAGACCCTGTCTCAAAAAGATGAAAAAAAAAAAATACACACTTCTCACAAAGAACATATACAATGGCCAATGAGCACAAAGATGCTCAACATCGTCAATCATTAAGGAATGAAAACTAAATCACATGTGTTTGTAGTCCAGCTACCTGGGAGGCGGGGGCAGGAGCACTATTTGAGTCCAGGGTTCAAGCCAGCCCAGGCACAAAGGGAGACCACATCTTAAAAAAAACCAAAGATCTCATAATGAGATTCAAATTCATGCTTATTAATATGATTGCTGTTGTTTTTTTTAAATTGGGAAATCAATATTGGGAGGATATGGAAAAATTGGAACCTTTGTGTGCACTGCTGAAGAAAATATAAAATAGAATATCTATTATGGAAAACAGTATAATTTCTCTCAAAATTAAAGGGATAACTTTGGTAGGATATAGCAATATCAATTCTGGGGAGAACTGAACAATGGTTGCACATCCAAGTTCATAGCAGCATTTTTGGTGACAGTCAAAGGTGGGAGCAACCCAAACATCTACTGATGAATGTGTGGATAAACAAATTATGGTACGTACACACAGCTGGATGGAATTAAAGAAACCTTTGATACATGGAGGAACCCTGAAGACATTACACCAAGTGAAAATTACCAGCTACAAAAGGACAAATACAGAAAGTGGAGTGGTGCTTGCCAGAGCTGGGAGCAAGAGGAGGAGTCAGGGTTTTAGTGTTCGTAAGGTAGAGTTTCAGTCTGTGAAGTTGGAAACGTTCTGAAGATGGGTGGTAGTAATGGTTGTGTAACAATGTGAATGTACTGAAAAGTCATTGAGCTTCAAAAAGGGTAAAATGATCATTAGATGTTATGTGTGTGTGACCGTAATTTAAGGTGAATGAGCTGTGAAAACTCAATGGAGTGGGAACAGCGTCTGCTGGGAGGCAAGGCTACCACTGCAGGCAAAGGCTGGCAGGGATATAGGGGATGCAGCCACACAACAGAGCTGCTGCCCTCGAGAGGCACACACTGCAGGAAGTGGGGAAGGGATGAGCACAAAGGCGCACAGCACAGAAATGGACAGGTGCGGGCATGAACTAGAGCCACAAGACTGCAGACATTTAGTCATTTCTTTTTACCTGACTGTCTTATTCCATGAAAGGTCAAGGACAGCATCAGTATGCCCTTCTGCTGAGGAACTCTGTAATAATATTTTCAATTATTTTTTTGTATTAAAAGCCTCCATCACAAAAATGTATGTTAATTTGCAATATTCTTTAAATTTCAAGATAGCTTTGTTATAACACACATTTGCTTAAAGAAATAAAGAAATGAATTCTTCCTATTACTTTAGATACCTATATTAAATATTCTTTACAGGAAGAAAATTACATACAGTTCTTAATTTAGGTACTAATTCAATAAATATTACCCCCACCTTCCATAAAAACTATTTTTTAAAACTACAAGAATTAATACATTGATATTTAGAATGCATCATACAAGCAGATAAATAGAATCTTTGTTTTCCGTGTAGCCCCAGCTGGTCTGGAACTTGGTATGCTGCTATGTAGACCAGGCTGGCCTCAATCTCACAGAAATCTGCCTGCCTCTGCCTCCCATGTGAAGGAACTAAAGGCCTGGCTTTTTTTTTTGGTCTTTTTTGAGACAGGATCTCCCTGTAGCTCCAGCTGACCTGGAACTCACTATGTAGACCAGGCTGGCCTTGAACTCACAGAGATCCACTTGCCTCTGCCTCCCGAGTGCTGGGACTAAAGACATGCACCACTACATCCAGCTGGCCTGGCTTTTTTAAATTCAAAACTTAATGTGTTGGTTTGATGAGCTACTGTAAGTGAGAAAGGGTAATGACCCGGGTCATCTGCTACATGCTGATAGGGGTTACATATAGCCAGGAACACATTTTCCTTGATGGGCTTGTTGAAAGTAGAAATGACATTAACTTCATAACTACCAGTGCTGCTCTACCAAGAATATCTGATCACAAAATGCATGTTCTTATACCGTCCTCTTCAATAGCTTAGCTCATTTGTCTTTAAAGATTTATTAACTTTTACCTTTTTTCCTTTTTTTTTCTTCTTTTTGGAAAGCTTATTTCCAAGTGTGAAGACTGGCTCCAAAGAATCCACTATATCCAAGTCCCACACCTCAATAACAGGGGTCATGTTGCCCACAGCAATGTAATTTCCTACAGAAAGACACAACACACTTTTGAGTACAAAACAAAACCAAAAACCTACTAATCAAACACTTCACACTATTGAGTGGTGACTCGGGGCTTAGAAATACATCATCGGAAAACGGTGTAAAACATGTTCTCTTTCAGGTGGTTTTGGATAGACCCAAGGCTGCAGCTCTAACCAGTTCCCATGAGATGCTACTCAATGCTGAGCTGCTGGTTTGAGAACAATAATTACAGCAACAAAAGCTGAATCCCTTAGCCTCCATGTATTGTCATGAAGCAGTACTGATGTGGCAACTAAGAGTGTGTAGCCATGGCTAAGAAGGCTGATATGATGATCTAGCTATGTGGGATAAGTCTCTTCATTTTACTTTTATCTGACATTCTTTTTCTTCTTTGAGATAAGGTCTCACTATGGGGCCCAGGCTAACCTGGAACTCAGATCCTCCAGCCCCAGCTTTGCAGATGATACACCATCATGCCTGGCTGACTGACTGTTTTCTGGAACAGGTTATGCCACTACATTCTAGCTGGTAACATCACATTACTTTATAATGGGTTTTTATCAGACCTTAACAGTTCTACAGTCTAAAGCTTTCAGGCTATATCCTTTAGCCTACAATATAGGTAAACAGACTCTACAAACAGTTAAGTGATATTGTGTTAAAGAATAACATAACTACAACTTCATAAACTATCAGCAACAATTCTAAACCCATAAGAACATGTTTTCCAATTACCAGTAGATGCATCTGGGCTAGGATCAAAATTCAGCCACTCCACACTCAGAGGATATGCAGACAAGAGTATATCGTGGTGCACATAAAATGACTCTTCGTCTTGATTATAAACTGAAAGGATTGGGAAGAGACTCTTTGAGTAAGAGACATCAGAAATCACATCCAACACAAATGAACACTCTCCCCACTAAAGTGAGACAGCTGAGGACTTCAAAAGGAGACTACGGCCACTGCTACCACAGAATTCTGCATGTCTAATCATTCCCATCACCTGCAGGCCCCAAAGCAGACCATGAACTGACAGATCTTCAGTTGCATGCCAGTCAACTACATGGTTCTGTCTTCTAGCTAACTCATTATAGAAAACAGACTCCACAAAAGAGGACTGAGTTTATTCCCTAACGGTCTGACTCTAAGTCAGAAAGAACAAGCAAAAAAATAACATGAGAAAAATAACTCATATTTAGAAATCCAAATGTTTATCAAAAATTACTTCTTTAGGGTCTGGAAAGATGGCTCAGAGGTTAAGAGTATTTGTTGTTCTTGCAGAGGACTCAGGTTTGCTTCCCGGCATCTACCTGGCAGCTAACAACCATCTATAATTCCAGTTCCAGGGGATCCAATGCCTTCTTCTGGCCTCCCCAGGCACAGTAAGCATAGGTGTACTTACATGCATGTAGACAAAACACTCATATACATAAATTTAAAAAATCTTGGCGGGGGGGAGTTTAAAAAAAAAAACGGTTGTTTAGTTATCACTAGGGGAATATTATAAATTTTTCTAATATTTTCCTGGTAAACCTGTTTAAATAAAAGATTTAAAAACAAAACAAAAAATTTTGTTAAAATTTGCAGATGGGGAATACAGAGATGGCTCAGTGGTTAAGAGCTCTGGCTGTTCTTGCAGAGGACCTGGGTTCAAATCCCAATACCGACATGGTGGCTAACAACCATCCGTAACTCTGGTTGCAGGGGATCTCACCTCCATGGGCATTACACAACAAGGATGCACTTACACACATGCAAGCATAATACTCATACACAGAAAAAAAAAAAAATAAATAGATTAAAAAATTTTTCAGGGCTGGAAAAGTGGCTCAGTGGTTAAGAACACTGGTTGTTCTTGCAGAAGACCCAGGTTCACATTCCAGCACCCACAAGGCAGCTAACAACTGTCTGAAACTCCAGTTCTAGGGGATCCAACAGCTTCTTCTGTTCTCCGTGGGTATTGCACAACACAAGTGCACTTACATACATGCAGACAATACATGTATACACATAAAATAAAAATAAAGTTTTTTCCAGAGGACCTATTTCCACTAAAAAAGAAAATTAAGAAAAAAAGAAAGAGGCCGGGCATGGTGGTATATGCCTTTAATCCCAGCACTCGGGATGCAGAGGCAGGTGGATCTCTGTGAATTCATGGCCAGCCTGGTCTCCATAGCGAATCCAGGCCAGGCCAGCTAGAGCTGCAGGGAGACCCTGTCTCAAAAAGACCAAAAAAAAAAAGAAAAGAAAAAGAAAAAAAATCTCAGATTGTACATATCCAGACTAACCAGCAAAAGGCAGTGAAAACTGATCTGTGTAGCCAACTCACATGAGGTACAACAGGATCTGGCTCCCAAAGTTTCTCAACAGCAGCCACTGCAGTTCTTTTGAAGATCTCTTAGAACCCCATTTCCTTTCCTTACTATGTTGGTTTGAATGACAAACATCCCCCATAGGCTCAACTATCTGAACACCTGGTATATGTCCTGTTGGTGGTGCTGTTTGGGGAAGGTCAAGGAACCTTTAGGAAGTGTGGCCTTGCTGAGGAAGCACCTCCCAAGAGGCAGGCTTTGTGAGTTCACAGTCTTCCACTTCCAGCTCTCAATGCTTCCTGAGAGCAAATGAAGATGTGAGCACTCAGCTTTCTGCTCTGTCCTCCTCTGCTACCATGCCTCCCCGCCATGATGGGCTCTAATCCCTCTGGAATTGTAAGCCCAAAGAAACTGTTCCTCCTAAAGTTGCCTTGGTCATGGCGTTTTATCACAGCAACAGAAAAATAACTAATATACTTACCGTGGACCTCTAAGTTGCACTGTTCCTGTTCAGCTCGGCCACAAATGATGAGATTGTCACTGGGCTTAATCAAGAAATCGTCTCGTTCATATTGCTCCTAAGTGGGGAGGAAACAAAGTCATTGACTAGGGGCAGAGATCCAATAAGGTTTTTCAATACTTAGGACCAATTTAAAAACTGATGGAAGCATTTACCGTATCCTTCAGAGTAACATATGGATCTTGATCATTACTCCCGTAGACCGTAAGACCCAAGAGAGATTCACCAAGAGTCTCAGCATCTATAACAAGACGTCATCCATCAAAATCAAAAAAATAAAAATAAAAACAAAAAAACAAAACAGGTCATCTTGCCACAAATGTTTTCGCCAAGACATCTATCTTTGGACTTAGATTCAAACATCTATTTTACCACTAACCTGCATCATCCATAGTTGGGAAAAGAAACAGTGTACAAATTTCAAAGTCATTTATATTTGACATCTGGAATGCACTCCTAAGTCTTGAAAGTCACAATCTTTCAATGAAAAAATTAAATAAACGAATTAAGCCCTTTTAGAAAACATTACAGCTTTGTTTATATTCTCTAACTTGTTCCATACAAGCAAGACTCAAGGTGCTAGAGAGGCAGCTTTGAGAGCCTAGAAATAAAATGACTCGAACACTGCAACCAACAGAATAAATAAAGATTATCTGATCAAAAAAGGAAAAAAATGAAATGACAGGCTTCTCAAGGTTAGCCAGGCTGCTCTACTGCAAGTGTTCTAGCTTTGGAGCTTATGAACCTGAAAAAAAGGAGAGCTGCATGCCTGTTCCAATACACTTACTTGAATAGAATTATTTTATGGCACTTTTATAAGGGATAGCATGGAGCAAACCCCGAGTAACTATTACAGCTTGAATCCCCTGAAGGTTTCTGTTTTAGAGAATTGGTTGCTAGCTGACAGGCTTTGAGGAAGTGATTAGATCCTAAAAGCTCTAACCTAATAGATGGATTAATCCCTGCTGAATCTGTAATGATACCATTATTTGAAAGTGGTAGAGAATAGGTGGTAGGGCCAAAAGAGAGGAAGCAGGTCACTGGGAGTATGCCCCAGAGGTGGTATCCGGCCCCTTCCTGCCTCTTTCTGCCTTCTAGCTGCCATGAAGTAACCAGCTCCGCCCTACTATGCACTCTTTGCAGTGACGCTTTGTCTCATCACAAGCCCAGTGATGGGACCAAGTGATTGTGAACTGAAACCAACTATTAGAATCAATCTTTCCTCCTTGTAAACTGTTTCTCATGCAGCTGTTACAGCAACAAAAAGCAGTAACATTCAACTCAGGAAAAGAGACAAATGGTTAGGGGAAGCTATCTGAAGGATGCAGGACTCACAGGTCTTGGTCATACAATGTGCAAAGAGAATTTCTCCTTTGGAAAACAACTGATTTTAAACGTGGGCTCCCCTGGCTGAGCTAGCTCTTCTTTCTTTGTATTCTCAAGCACTGTGTCCCTAACAAAGTTGAAAACTACAACCCAACGTTAGGGGATTGCATCCAGTGAAGCATGGGGAAAACCATGTCAGAGGCAGGGTGTTCAAATCCCATCCATCTTTCAACACTGTGCGACACTGGTACATGGAGGCGGTATTTCCTCTCACAGTAGTCCAAACACAGAAAAGTGAGTTTAACAGTAGTTACTATGACAGATGGACCAGGAGATGAGGAGTAAAGAGGACTGAACATCTAGATGGAAACTGATACAACTGGAGTCAGAGTCAGGATTACTTGTCTGAAAGAAAAAAATACCCCAGTGATGGTAAGATGAAAGCCAGGAGCATCAACTCTGGTGGAAGGCCCTTCTGTGAAGATGAAGCAAAATCCCCAGCTCCTCTTCAGTCTCTTCTATTTCCACCTCCTCAGTCCTCAAGCCAGAGTCCAGGGCTTCATTATTTCTGACCTAATTTAGTTTGTCTCTTGTTCTTCTAAGAGGTTCAACCTATCACCCAACCCATTCTCCAAGTCCAACGTCCTAAAGTGTGTATCTAGTTGTTATACGTCCAATGCTCCAAAATCTTTGATGATTTCCCCTGCACAGCGAACACAGAAATCCACACTGAGGCTCACCAAGACCGTATCAGTCTGTAGACTGTCTTGTTTACTGTCCATCTTTTTGGTGCTTCACACACAAATCAACATATGAGCATTTACAATTGGATCTTTAACCGGACTCTTTCCTCTTCCCATCACTCACTGTTAAGCTCAACAACGCAGTAATAACACAGGTTCTTTGGGTTCTTTATAATTTGCCCAGCCACTGTTTCTCTCTTGGAGAAACACATCCCATTAGAGACTCCAGGTCAAGTCTGCTAGTTGTCACTGATTACTTTGCTCAGCTCTGTCTTACTCAGAACGCATTTTCTCATTTCTCCTTATCTGTCTGTTGTTCACTGATCTCCTTGTGCCCAGCACAGCATGCTTCCACAACCACTGTCACACCAACAACACTGACTATCTGGATATCCCACAGTTCTCAACATTAGTTCATATGTACCAGATTGTTCTTGAATAATTTCTCTACTATGGAAATTTCAAACATGAACAAAAGGAGAGAGAGCACAGACCCTGAGGCACAGACACTGTGCCTTCCACAAAGCCTTTGCCCTGGAAGCTTCCAGAGACTCTCCATTGCCATTGTGACATCTGGGTGGCAAGATGGAGGAAGCATGGTAGACAGGGGCAAACCAGGCCCAGGATGCTTTTGGATCTACAGAGTGTCCTGTAGACCTTGTGAGGCCAGATATTAGAAATCCTCCCATTCGGTAATTTCTGTCTCTCTATATACTATCTCCACAACCTGCTAGAAGTGAGTGTTTACTGCTTTTTTGTTTGTTTCTGATACAGGGTCTGAAAATGTAGTCCAGGCTGGATTTGAACTTGAAGTGATCCTCCCTGCCCCAACCTCGTAAGTGCTGGGATTGGAAGTATGTGCCACCACTTTGCTCTTTCTACTGGGTTAACACGCCTACAAAATGTCCCCATGCCTTCATGTCCCATGGGAGCATTTCTATGGGCTAGGAATAGAATTGCTGGCCACTGCCCATGAGCTCGAGGGGCCCTATTCATCCTCCCCAACACTTAGTATTGAGACTGGGTTTTAACTCGCTATGTACCCTAGAATGGTGATGAACTCATGATTATCCTTGCCTTAGCCCCCACATGGTAGGATTACAGGCCTATGCTACTAGCATTGTGAGACTTAAAATTTTTTATTACATTTTATTAATTTATTTTGCATGTGCACACACTTACAATATGGTACGCATGTGGAGGTCAGAGAACAACTTTTCTCTTTTGGGAGCTGGTTCTCTCCTTCTACCATTTGTGTTCTGGAACTCAAACTCAGGTCATCAGGCTCACAGACAAGCGCCCTTACCCGCTGAGTTATCTCATCAGAGCTATCTCACCAGTCCCACTGTGAGCACTTTAAACATTCATGCTGTTCCCTGGTGATTAGCAGGTTGCATAATCACTCATGTTAATAGAACATTACAAATCCTGGTGTCCTTTTTAAAAATCCATTTCCTTCATTTATCTGAACTTCTGACAATTAAAAGTGCTTCAAACAAGCCAGGTGTGGTGGCCCATGCCTTTAATCCCAGTACTTGGGAAGCAGAGGTAGGTGGATCTCTGTGAGTTCAAGGAGCCAGCCTGGTCTACACAGTGAGTTCATTGGGACCACAGGGAACCCTGTTTCAAAAAGACCAAAAAAGAGAAAAGAAAGAAAAAAGGAAAAAGTGCTTCAAACAAACAAACAAAAAAGAACTTGAGGCAAATCGGTTGGCTTTATTTTACTCAACATTTCAATTAAGCACCTCTACCAGATAAGGACATTATTTTCATACCTGATTATAATTGCTATAAGAGGCTTTAATGTACTATTATTACATTACATTAAATACTATTTAAATGTATTTTCTTATCATCCCAAGAAAATCTAGCTCAAGACCAGATATATAAAAAAAGTGGTAGGATTTATACTGGGTTACTACTACACAAATCCAGGTTCCAAGCTGGGCATGGTGGCTTATACCTGTAGACCCAGTAATCTGAAGGCTAAAATAGAAGGACTGAGCTACAATAAGAAACCCTCTCAAAACAAAGCAAAACCCCAAACCACCAAAACAAAATCAACTGACCAAAGAAACCAAATCTAGGCTCCTATGAAAAGAAACAGCCTTCTGACTCCCCAGTATCACACTCTGCCCACAGTATCGTATTCCCTTTCGTCACTTGGTGGGGCTGAGAAGACCTTACAGGGAAAGGTCACAGCAAAGGCGACAAAAACAAAAGGCACCCAAATATCAAAATAAAGGAACATTACATCAAAACAGCAGCACCCTTGGAACACGCATTCTTCATTACCAAGTGCACGGCAGCCTTCTATTTATCATCACTGCCTCCCTTCGAGATCTCTTCCCTTGCCTTCAACCTGGGAGCAGTGACTTCACTTTGCTGCACTGACATCTGAGCTTATGTTTTATGTGTCAGGTCAGCTGTGATCTTCTGATTTTCTAGCTTGGAAGGTGCTGATTCTGTCAGAATTCTATCTAGGTTCCAGAGATGCAGAATAGCTAAGGCTTTGAAGGTAAAGTGATTACTAACCATCCCAGAGCAACAGCTTTCCCATTAACATTGTCACCCAAGGACCAGACTGGAAGACACAAAGCAAACTGCACAGCCTCTACCAGTCCCTCCGCACTCCTCTTCACTTCCTTTGCTAATGAGCGTCTCATCTGTCTCAGCTCACTCTATTTCCCCTAAGACATCGTACTGGACTTCTCACAGCCTTCTGCTGTGTCTCCTTCTCCTGCCACCAGGCCTCTCTTCCCTAATTAGCTCTAACAATTGAGTCTCTGCAAACGCATTCTGGAAAAATTCTTCATAATGCTGTTGAGGAAAAAAGGGTATCATTTCACATACCTTTAAGTAACTGAAGAACTCACAAGTCAGTTACAGACTTTTTACAATTAAACCAAATACATGCAATAACATATACAATCTGCTGGGTGTGGAGGTGCACACCTTTAATCCCAGCACTTGGGAGGTAGAGGCAGGAGGATCTTTGTGAACTCAGTGAAAACAAAAACAAAAACATACATCTACAATCTTTTTAGAGACTAAGATTACATCTTAGGTCATCTTTGGGTTAGAGCTTATCTTCTAGTTTAAGAAGTATGTTCAGTCAAATCTTAAACTAAATTATTTGTCTGTTATCAAGGGTAGCAAAGCTTCTGGATAGCACAAGCAGGAGCTTGAACACAAGCCTAATCAGACACTGGTGGATGTGAAGGGTTCTACCTGGGCTGTCCTCGTCATCGTATTTGTCCAGGCCGTACTCAGCTAGCTCATCATCCTCTAGGGTTCGGTCATCCTCTGGGTCACCGTCCTCCAGGGGCTCCCTTGGCCGTGCCTGGGTGCGGGCACTCTGCATGCCATCTTCTGAAGGACTGCCTGCCTCCTCTTCCTCACTACCACCTTCTTCTCTGAGTGAAAACAAAATGGAAAAAGAAGCCATCCAAATGGCACCTCCCAATAACGGACTACAAGGCCACCACTATTTGAGATACATACTTCATCTGGACTTGACTAAACAACATCATGAACTTACTGTAACTTCTCCTTTGCTTCAGCAATGAGACGTTTTACTTCCTCTTTACTTAGCTCTACCTATAAGAGAGCAAACATTTCATTCATGAGAAGTCTTTGAATTACAGTCTTCAAGAAAATGTTAAAAATAACTTCAAGAGATATCAAGAAAAATTTGCACACTGATCTGGCCTCTCTAAACTCAACATAAATGGAAACTGTATAGGTCCTCACAATTAGGACCTATGCCCACCTAACACTGTTCGGAGTCGTGCTCACTTTGCTCTGCCGTTCTCAGTGTTAAAAAAGATGCATTTCTGGGGGCTGGAGAGATGGCTCAGCGATTAAGAGCACTGATTGCTCTTGCAGAGAACCCAGGTTCGATTCCCAGCACCCACATGGTGGCTATCAACTGTCCTTAACTTCAGTTCCAGGGGCATCCAAAGCCCTCTTCTGAGCTCCACGGCATTGCATGACATGGGTGCACTCACATACATGGAGGCAATACACTCATACACATAAAAATAATAAATAAAATATTTTTTAAAAAGATGCATTTCTGTAAAATGGATCTGCAGTAGCCAGCTTTTCTTCCAACTGTCTCTGACACCAAGGACACCTCTCCCTCTCTTGCCCATGACCACCCGTTACACCACTTTGCACTGGTCTCAGCTCTTTTTCCTATTATCACCGCCAAATGCAAATTCATTCTTTCTTGGAAATGTTTACTCCAAACTTCCCCATCTCTAATCTTACACTCCAATTCCATTTTCTGGACTGCTTGTAAGACTTCCCACAGGGACATCTTTTGTTTTAACAGAGTTAAAAAACTAGGGTCACTATTTCAAAACTGGCATTCCCTCACCTAAGCAATGCTTCAGTACCTTTAAAGCAATCTGTCACTACTAAGCAAAGCATGTGAAAGCAGCCACCAGTCTGTTATTGTATACTGAGACTCACCATTTGATACTTGCCATAATGGAAAAAAGCTCCATGACTGATGGTGAACCAATCTCTCAGTTTCTTCTAAAGAGCCTCCGGCTATAGGGCTAGAGAGATGGCTTAGCGGTTAAGAGCACTAACTGCTCTTACAGAGGACCTGGATTCGATTCCCAGCACCCACAAGGTGGCTACGAACCGTTCTTAACTCCAGTTTCAGGGGCATCCAAAGCCCTCTTCTGACCTCTGCGGCATTGCATGACACAGGTGCACTCGCGTACATGCGGGCAATATACTCATATACATAAAATAAAAATAACAAATAAAATGTTTTAATTAAAAAAAAAACTCTCCTGCTAGTCTTAGTAGCTCACATTTATAATTCCAGCATTTGAGGGGCTGACACAGGAGGGGTACCATGAGTCTGAGGCCACAGTGAGCTATAGAATGAGACTCTGTCTCCAAAAACAAAAACAACAAAAATCTTGAAATACAGGAATCTTCCTGAGAATGACATTGTAATGTGGCTTACATAGATCCAGAAATAAAAGGTTAGGAAATATTTGTGAGGGCTAAGGAAACCGTTCAATCAGTAAAGAACTTGCTGTGTAAACATGAGGACCCAAGTTCCACTTAAAAGCTGGGTGCACAGTGGCAAGCACACCTGTAACCCCAGCACTGGGGAAGCGGAGACAGGAGGATCCCTGGTGCTTGCTGACCAGCCAGTCTAGCTGTATTGGAGAACTCCAGGTTCGGTGAGACTGGCATAAAAATTTTTTTTTTTACAAAAGATGGATAGTGACTGAGGAAGACATACCCTGCTGACCTCTGACTTCCATACATGTACATGAACATAACTACCTACAGATATGCACACACATGCTCACACAGGAACACTGGCACACAGAAAAGTTAGATGGTATCTGCATATTTTCTTCTTATCATCCTTTTGCCTTTCAGAGATTTAACAGAATAAATTCAACCACTCTATTCTATAACCTTTTCAAGCAGTGATTCCCAAAGCTGTCTGCATGTGAGAATCACCTAGAGGATTCTTACACTTCAGGCCACACTCCAGATTAATTAAGTGACAGTGTTTGGGAGTGGGGCACAAGCACCAGCCATGTTTTTGTTGTTGTTTTTCAGACAGGGGCTCACTATGTAGACCAGACTGGCCTTGAACTCAGAGGTTTGCCTGCCTCTGCTTCCCCAGTGCTGGGATGAAAAGTATGCACCAGCAATTTTTAGGGTTCCCTTATACATACTTTAAAGGCTGTATGTCCCTATTTAATGAAATGTTTTCTTTTGAACAAATTTTAATTTGTTGTCCCTTTTCTACAAACAGGCATTGATTGCCTGCTGCAGGCTAACCAGAGAAAGCAGTAAATAAACAGTCTGTGTTCTAGGGGACTGACATCATAAACAGTCTGTGTTCTAGGGCATTGATATCTACGGGGAGGGTCTTTCCCTCCCTCCTGTGAATTCATGTGGTGGCCACTCCCATGCCTATCACATTCCCAGTCATCACGGGCCCCCTTCCCTTCTAGGACACTTGCACCAATGACATCCCATACATGCACATGTCAACTGCGGAAAGACGAGGCTTTGTTCTGTGTGTTCGCACCTATCCCGGGACCCTGAACACTGCCTGGCTTACAGAAAGCACTTAGTATCTGATGCATAATCAGCCTGAGTAACCTGTTACAGTCTGCAACTTATGTGTCACAGTCACAGCTTCTCCTCGCTGCCCCAGATGGCTTCGCCTGGATTACTGCAAGAAATTCCCAACGAGCAAGCACAGCACCCCTTCGTGTGCACAAAGTCCACTAGCTTGCGAATCAGGGGGTGGGGCCGGCTTCCAGGTCCCTGACAGCCACAGGCCTCGGGGCCGCAGCTCGCGTGGCGACAGCCGGGGGCAGCCGCCTGCCGGGCCGGTCGCACTCACGCGGCGGGGCCAGGCGCGCGGGCTCCCTACGCAGGCCCGACGCGGCGAGCGTCTCCGAGCGAACAAGCCTCACCTTGTCTGGCGTCTCTTTGGCCACGCCGCGGCGGACCCAGGCCACGCACGTCACCTGGCGGCTGCGGTTCATGGTCCTCAGGTCAAAAGCGTCCCAGGCAGGCGACCCGGCCGCAGGAACTGGCGCCGGCGCACAAAGCTCCGCGAGGGTCCGCAGGCGAGGCAGTGCGCAGGCGCGGGCTCAGGCTTAACGTCATTAGTAGGCGCCGGAGGGAAGGGGGTGGAGAATTTGAGGAGGTGGGTGGGGCTGTGCTCTGCTGGGTGATCTGATGGTGTCCGCGGTCTTCGTGGAGGCCAAGAAGAGATTTAGAGCTGCCAGGGGCCAGAGATCAAATCCTCCACTCTGTCTTGTGCATTTTCTTGTAGTTACATGGACTTAAAGATGGCAAGGATACACATAAAAGTAATAAAATATTTAAAAAATCTTAGTATTTATATTTTATGTGTATGCGTGTATTGCCTGCATCTAGGTAAGTGCACCTCTGTCGTGCAATGCCTGTGGAGGTCAGAAGAGACTGTCGGATCCTTTGGAACTGGAGTTACGACATTTGTTCGCTGCCTTATGGGTGCTAGGATTCGAACCGTGGTCTTCTGCAAGAACAGTGTTCTTATCCGCTGAGCCATCTCTCCAAGCCCCCATAAACTATTTTTTTAAAAGATGACAGGTGAGGGACTGGAGAGATGGCTCAGCGGTTAAGAGCACTGACTGCTCTTGCAGAGGATCCGGGTTCAAGTCCCAGCATCCACATGGCGGCCATGAACCGTCCTTAACTCCATTTCCAGGGGAATCTGAAGCCCTCTTCTGACCTCCGCGGCTTTGCATGACACGGGTGCACTCACATACATGCAGGCAACACAGTCACACACATAAAATAAAAATAACGAAATATTTTTTTAAAAAAGATGACAAGTGGTGAAGATGTGTATTTTTTATTTTTTAAATATTTTATTATTTTTTATTTTACGTGTATGCGTGTATTGCATGTGTGTAGGTAAGTGCACCTGTGTCCCGCAATGCTCGCGGAGGACAGAAGAGGCTGTTGGATCCCCTAGAACTGGAGTTTCAGACAGTTATTAGCTGCCATGTGGGTGCTGGGATTCGAACCTGGGTCTTCTGCAAGAACAACCAGTGTTCTTAACTGCTGAGCCATCTCTCCGGCCCCTATTTTTTATTTTTAAATTTATTTGTTTTTGCTCGCATGTATGTAAGTGCACCATGTGTTGTGCAATGCCGGCGGTGGCCAGAAGAGGATGTCGGAGCCCCTGGAACTGGAGTTATGGTTGTTAGCTGTCATATGTGTACTGGGAACCGAATCCTGATCTTCTGCAAGAGCAGCGGGTGTTCTTAATCGCTGAGCCATCTCTCCTCTTCCTCTGCTTGTAAACAACATGTTCCATGTCCTTGTTACTCCAGAGATGTCTGTGAATGTCACCAAGGTTGGGTTTCAGGTGGCAAGGATGTGACTGAGTTCATTGTATCAGTGACATTGGGGAAAGCCTTCTGTTCTGTGTGCACACATGCCTGTCTTCCCTAACAAAAGTGGCTGGCTGTTCACGTGTGGCAGAAACACTGAGTGAAGTTGGAGACATGGGATCTGTCCCCACATATCTTGCACACATGATGTGTGCTCTTAGATTTATTTCCTTTTGCTGATCCTCACTCTTCTCATCTGTGGTAAATTAACTGCTGCCACAATTTTTTTTCCAGGCCTTCCATCAGGAGATGCCATCTCTCCCCACTTCCCTCCACCTGGTTCTAGCCCAATTCACAAAATAGTGCAGAAAGAAACAGACCCTAGGGAGTTGCCAGATTGGGATTACAGTGCTCATAAGTAGTGTTCACTGTTGTATCTCCATGTCTGGCACATGTGATCTCACAATCATTAAAGATTTATTGAATGAATGGATAGATGAATGGGTAAATGAATCCCGTCTCTCTTAGGAGACAGATTTGTGCTCTTCATACAGAAAGCAGGAGTGTGGCTCCACCTAGCGAAAAACCTCAGGATTATGGCTGGACCTGGAACATTTTTCCCCCCTGTTTTATTCTTTGGCTTCTTTATTTTCATGTTCCTGCTTTACCCACACTGAGGATGGAAGCATGGCCTTTTAGGTGATCTGGAGACCCCAAATGGGCAATTTGAGAAAGGTGTTCTTAGGGAATAGAGCAGAATATATAGAATGAATTCCCTTCGAGCTGCTGGTGCTGTGCAAAGGACACCAGAACAGATGTCCTGAAAACCATAGCTAGCTGTGTGGCTTTGAGCAACCCACCTGTCATTTCTGGATCTTGGTTTTATCGTCTGTGGAAGCTGTCTGAAACACAGACACCACATTGATGAGTGAGTCCTTACCATGTGCCAGGGACTAGTTTTTGCACCCAGACATGACCTCACGTGGCATGTGGAAACCACCATGTTTATGTTACAGTTTATATTAATCAAGGAGCCCAAGGCCTCGCTCTAATAAGGGTCAGATCCAAGGTCTGAACTCAGATGCACCTGACTCTGGTGCCCATGCAGTTGACACTGCACTGTGCTGCCTTTTATAGACTACATCAAAATGGTTAAAGGTGTGGCCCTGGAGCTTTGGTCCCTCTATGTGAATCACAGTTCTATCAATGAACCCACTCAGCAGTGTGTGATCTTGGGCAAGTCCCTTAATCTCTCTGTGTCTTGGTTTTCATGTCTGAAAAATGGAATAATAAAGTACTGCTGTAAAACTTTACACACACACACATATCCTCACCACTTAAAATGCTATGTATTTGTATGTCTCTTTAAATTTTTGCTTTTTTGCAGTGTGAGGAACAGAACCCAGGACCTTGTGCATGTGAGGTAAGTGCTCTACCACTGAGCATATACCTCTTACATGTCTTCCATTGTGGCATCACCTAACATAGCTGAAATTTAGGCCTTTAATATTATTTCCAAGTAAGGTGATAGTTATAGTTACATAGATATAGGCCTGTGCAGCATAAAGGCTATGTTCCATTATGGGCATCCCTGCCTATGAATTAGCATGTGAATTTTAGGAATAGTGCACTTGGACTCTGAATGGTAAAAGTGTATCCCATTTCATTATTTGGGAAGTAGAAGTATTCATTTCTTATATGCAAGTATTTAAAAGAAATAGAAGGTTGGGGATGTATAGCTCAATGAAGGTACACAAAGTTCTGTACCACAAAATAAATTAGTGACAATAAAAACAGATTTTTTTTTGTATTTGTATATGTACATATGCATATGTGCACGTGTATGTGGGTGGCCAAAAGACAACCTTAAATGTCATTCCTCAGGCACTTTCCACTTTGGCTGTCAAAATACTCTAGGCTATTGCCTCAGTCCTTGATTGCCTCCCAGAGCTTGAAGGTAAAATCCTATTGCTGAAGGCAAAACACAACATACTTTGGACACAGGACTTGAAGCAGCTGAGCTGGAACTGGCCTGGAAGCCTCCTCCCTGAAGACTAACTGTCATGGTATCAGAAGATACCGTGCAATCTACCGAGGAAGAAAATCAATCAATGGTCCTGCCCAGCTTTAAAGCCTATGAACCACAACAATTATTGGCCCAACAAACTCTCTCTATTGGTGCAGAAGTGTCACTTTTATCATGGGGGTAATCAACAGCTGTCTAATTGGACTTAAGGCCCACTCAATAGGAGGGAATCCATGCATGGTCCTGTAAACAGAGCTAGTATACGTGGTGGCGAGGTCATGGACCCTAGAGAAAAACCTGCTTCTGACATTTTCCTAAACCAGTGTAATTTCTTACTATATTCTAAATATGCATCCTCATATTTATAGACAAGTGTACCTTTCACCACTCACCAAAGAAGCGTCTCTCTGCAACAGATGGAGGCTATTACAAAGCTCCAGAACTGGTCAAAATACAGAGAACAAGTGACTATGAGGTGTCCAGCCTTAAATAATCCATCTGCAGTGTAACCTCTACACCTAAGGCTCAAGGAATATCTCAGAAGAGGGGGCAGAAGGATTGTAAGAGCCACAAGCAGCTGCTGCTGGTCACTGAATTCTAGACATGACAGGGAAGCTGCACCAATGAGTCTCCACAGCGTGGTGTTCTAACAAGAGCTACAGAACGACGAAAACCAATGACATGCCAGGGTGGATGGGGGAAATCTTATGGGGTTGCACCTCAAGATGAAGAGCTACAGGCAATCAAGGGGTGCTGAGGGAGAATCCGTTTTCTCCAGGAACGAGCTTCCTGAGAGGTTATCTAACTAAATGGGCAGTCTGAAACACAGGTACACAGAAGCACCACTAAATGGACTCAGTGCATTATATTTTATAAATGTATATATGTTATATATATATATAACAATAATGATAATTTAAGAGGACAAGAAATTTAGAGGAAGTGGGGGATGTCGGAGGAGTTGGGGGACTCGCAGAGATAGAAATAATAAAAACATAATGCTCATATATGAAACTCTTTAAAAACTCAAAATTAGGGCTTGAGCCATGGCTCAGTGGTTAAGAGCACTGGCTGCTCTTGCAGAGGATCTGAATTCGATTCCCAGCACCCACATGGCAACTAACAACTATTCCCGGGGAACCTAATACTGTCTTCTGACTTGCGTGGGCATTGCATGACATGGGTGCATTTACACACATGCAGTTAATATATTCTTACACACAAAAGAAAAAGTTTTTAAAAACTCAAAAATTTTTAATTCACTTATTTATGGGGGGTCACACCTGCTGCAGGGCATATGTGGAGGTCAGAGGACAGCTTGCAGGAGTTGATTCTCTCTTTCCATCATGTTGTTTCCAGGTTTCAGTTCCTCAGGCTCAGTGGCAAATGCCTTTAGCCACTGAGCCAGTTCTCTAGTCCACACCTTGTTTTTTGAGGTAGAATCTCTCCCCAGGACCTGAGGCTCATCAATCAGCATGTATTAGCTAGCCAGTGAACACCAGGGATCAGCCTGCTTTCCCCTCCCCAGCCCCGGGATTACAGCATGCTCAGCATTCTACATGGGTGCCGGAAATTGAACCCAGGTCCTCATGCTTACACTGCAATCACTTTACCAGCTATCTCCCCAGCCTCCAGAACTTTTTAAATCTTGTTATGGACAGGACCCAACTTTCTCTTAACTTCCCAGAATCCCTGATCTACTTTCAAGGTACCAGACTCAGAAAGAA